AACGTGCTGAAATGTTGCTGAAATGAGCTAAAAACATGCTGAAAAACAGTTGAAATGAGCTAAAAACGTGCTGAAAAACAGCTGAAATGAGCTAAAAACGTGCTGAAATGTTGCTAAAATGAGCTAAAAACGTGCTGTAATGAGCTAAAAACGTGCTGAAATATGCTAAAAACGTGCTGAAAAACAGCTGAAATAGAAGAACAAGCTTAAATTAGCAGAAGAAAGCAGAAAGAACACATATTTGCTGAATTAAGTTTAAATAAGCAGAAATTAGCACAAAATTTAGAACATTTGCTAAAGAAAATGAAAAGGCTAAAAGAAGCTTAAACTGCAAGAAGGAAGTGGAAATAACTGAAATGAGCAAAAAAAGTGGCATTAGCTGAAAAACTAAAATGACCATCAAAGGAGCTAAATAGTAGCTGAAAGTGCAGAAAAAGGTGAAAGAAGCATAACAAGCTGAAATTAGCATAAAGAAGTTAATTAGTCTGAAAGTAGCATAAATTTACTTATTTTTTTATTTATCTGAAAACAGCTGAAATCAGCTAAAACATTTCTAAAAAGGTAGCTGAAAATGTAGAACAAGCTTAAATTAGCAGAAGAAAGCAGAAAGAACAAGTTTGCACAATTAGGCTGAAAGAAGCAGAAATGAGCACACACAAAAAATCAGCTGAAAAGTTGCTAAAACAGCAGAAAGAAGCTTAAATTACCAGGAGGAAGTGGAGAGAGCACTTTTTTTGCTGAATTAGGCTGAAAAAAGTTTAAATTTGCACAAAGAAGCTGAAGCAGAATAAAATGTGAAGCAGCAGTAAAAGCTTGTGAACACATCTAAAGATTTGAAGGAGGTCAAATGAGCTCCGTTCATTTTATATGAAGAAAAAATGTCAGAAAAGGCTAAATGTTTCAAACAGCTAAAGTTGCACCAACACCAAAAGTCACAGCAGGATTGTCCTGAAAAAGCCGAACGTTTTGGCTCATGATTTGCTGAAACAGCTGAAAACTGGGCGACGAGAAAGATGCTGAAAAATGTAGCTAAGAAAAATGACAATAGAGCGAATGATTCACAAACGTTGTTTTTTTGTGTCAATACGGAGTTTTTCTCACGTCGAACTTTCTTTAGGTGTCAAAAGATGAAATGTTCAACATTTTGGGCATTAAATAAAAAATAATCACAAGTTCTTATAAAAAACAAACAACCTGATTCCAAATTGTTAAAAACTGAAACTTTTTGTAAATAAAATTATTTGAACTAAGAGCCGTTCAGCCTCGGAGCGGTCGGCACGCGTGCAGTTTCCAGTAACGCCATCATGAAGGCCAAGTATTGAAGAAGTGACCACATGAACATCTGGAAGCAGCAGATGTTCTTCAAACACCAATTAACTCCAGTTAACGAAACCTGACAGGGAAGCAACGCATGTCCTGGTCACGCTTGGTTAGCGGAGCGTTGGGAAGGCAGCCACACTCCAAGTAACCACGGCAACAGCCAGCGTCCCTCTGGGATGTCCAGAGCAGGACGGACTCACGTCCTGGAGCTGTGCACTCCACCAACACCCTCCTGTTTCCTGCACATGCTGCTTTTTCTCTACGAGCTCAACCACTGGGGAGGCTTTAACTAACCCAGCTTCCACGTCTCAAGCAAGTTACCGTGGCAACAGTGCAGACCCCAGCACCTCCGTTCAGCCACAGATCTTATCAAACACCAACGGTTCAAGACAGCTCGCTTCAAAAGCTCCGATACAGAAGCTGGACGTCTACCAGACAAACATTAAGAGCTGTTGGTGCTCACACATAACTGGAGTTTCTAAACTCTGAGCTTTCGTTTTGTACAACCAGAGCGGGGGGGCAGTGGGTATATTGGTAGAAGGATGTTAGAAATGCAGCTGCAGGAAAAAGACAAAGAGGAGACAGATGGTGCAGTTAGAGAGGACACAGAGGACAGAGTGAGGTGGAGGAGGACTCGCTGTGGAGACCCTGAAGAGGGGACAGCTGAAAGAAGAAGTGTCTTTCTGCTGAGCTCTTCACGTATACAGCGACAAACGCTCGTTTTGTCTGGTGTCCGGCAGCTCTCTCCATTCATCAGGGAGTGGACGACACTTTGTCCACAGTCCGGTGGAGACAAGAGGGTCTGGTCTCAGATCGGTCCCAACGGGCCGACGCTGGCAGAGCCGAGGACACTCGCTGACCCAACAAAGAAGGCCCACACACTCACGTTACACAACAGGGTCGCACTGCAAACACCCCCCGTCTCAGATTACACAGATTAGGATCTTCCAGGCGAAGCGTGCCGAGTGGTCACAAGCCGACGCCACTCACATGTACTCTCTGTGCGCCGAGTGCACGGCGGCGGCGTTGCTGTAGCGCCACAACACGATGACAGAGGACAACACGTCCAGCGTGGCGTCAAACTGCAGAGGGAACAGAGACACGTTTTTAAATCCACCACTCTGAGGCGAACTGTTGGAGGATTCACGGCTGGACTTACGGCAAATCCGAAAGCTGAAGCGCTGTGGCGCATGACGGACACAGCTGGAGAGAGAAACAGGAAATAAACATGACGGA